AGTGTTTCTTCTTCTTCAGTTTATTTGGCAGTGTTGAAGCTTTTGGTACATTACTGCCACAGCGCTACCTACTGGAAGGTGGAACAGAAAGAAATGCACCATCCAACAAAAACATCAAGTATTTTCACTCGCACACACTGACGCGAACACGCACACAAACATACACGAGCACAAACATGTACGCGCTCGCGCGAGCACACAGCGATTGTGTTCATACATGTTGTGTTATCATCTTTTGGTCAAAAGCTTTGGTCTTACATACATTTTAATCAAAGCAAGCTTTGAAATATTACATTATTTGAGGTGAAAAAGGAATACTATTTTAAAATGTGGTGCAAATGTTCTCACTGATGGTGTAGTGGTGCACTCGTCTGAATTATGTACGGGCAGCATTTCTCTTATTATGCCCACTTCAACCTCTGAAAATATATAAAAAATTGATGGCAGAATATTTTGGATTTTATGGAGGTGATAAGCTTTTTCACTAACGTTAAACATTGTCAGGGTTTGAAATGGGCATGAGAAGAAATGTGCAGAATTTTGCTGAGATCATTGGTCGTGGTTTTCAGATTTTAGTCCTTGGCGAAACAAGGGGTGAAGTCCATAGTACCGACATCATTTTTAAAGGGCGATTTTAAACTTTTCACAGCTAACAATAGCCATATGTATGATTATACCTTTGACATAATGGTGATCTAATTTCTTATGAAATATGAATTATTGTGGTGGCAATTTTTCACCTTGTTCACTAAAACACAGCCTCTCCCCATGTGGCTGCTGCACCCCTTTTATGACATCATCCTGAAGCGGCGACGCTCCAACTCTGGCGGCTCGAGACCTCTGATTCAAGTGAATGGGATCCAGTGTGTGAAAGGAGCCAATTCTCACCGATTCTGGTGCAGAAATGAATGAATGAATGAATGGAAGTGTTTCACTTGTGCCTGCTCTGAGAAAATGGGGGTGTGTTCCGTCTGCAGGGACGATACTGAAGTCACATAGAAAAATGAGGACCCAGTCGTTTTCTTGGACTGGACTGGGCTTTACTTTTCACCTTCCGTGTGATGTCCGATTCTCTGTGCTAATTTCGCTCCTCCTGTGACCAGTCATGGACACAGCAGACTCAGGCACAATCCATCAACCCGCAGATGTCCCCGCCTGCTCCAACCCATCTCTCCACCTCTATCCAGGGAGTGATCATCTCATCGGCTGCTGCTACACCTTTTCACCGGCAACCCCTCGTGCCGCTCCTCCTCAATTGTTCGCCCAGGCCGTCACAAGCCCCAGTCCTACCGCCCTCAGCCTGTCGACCACCCCTACGCTCTTCGTGTGAGCTTTGTATTTGATTCCAATTCTCTCACCTGTGCCATCTCCTTAGGGGTGTTCACACGGCATCCTTTGCTCCGGTGCAGCACCGGGGCTGCCCCCGTAGAGTGTTCACACATACAAAGGTACACCGGTGTAGGCCCTGAAAACAGCTTAAACCGGAGCAAATTTAACCCTGCTCAAGGAGGTGGTTTAAAAATTTGCTCCGGAGTAAATGCTCGTTTTCGGGGCAGCGCCGATGTAAAATGGTACGTGTGAACGCTACAGGGGTAGACTCGCTACGCATGAGAAGAGTTGCTTACATACAGGTAGAATGCGTTGCTTTCGTGCTCTGTTGTACTTCCGTCATCTTTCCTTTTGTCGGAGACTGGACTGTCTCGGAGTTGTTTGTGTAGTTTGTTCCTCTGTTGTGTGTTCACCCCCCCCCCCCCACCTCACTTTTATGTATTTATTGTGATTTCCTCTCTTGATTGTTTGTTTGGCGCATTATGTTTGCTTTTCTGAGTGTCATTGAAGTCATCGTTATTTTACGTTTTCGGGGCCGGTCACTGAACGCCTCTCGAGTAGAAGGCACGGAGACCGAGAAGGAGAAGGATGCGCCTGTAGTTGCTTGAGTTAAACAAATTAATAAAGTGTATGTTTTAAAAGGAACCAACACGACAGCTCTTTGTTTTATTTCCGTATTAATATCGTATTGCACGGCCGCAGAAACTGCCGTGTGAACGCAAGTGGGGCTGCACCGGGGTAAACACGCTTCTCTTTAGTCAGCAGCTTTTTACATGTGAACGCTCCACAAAATTTGCACCGGTGTAAGATATATCGCAATAAAATATGTCGGTGCAGCACCGATGCAAATGTGTGCCGTGTGAACACCCCTCTTGTCTCAGTTCATCGATTTCGATTTTCCTGCAATATTTTATTTTTAGACTCTGATTGTAAAGATGGCCCCAATTTGGGTAACTTTCTTTCTGATTCAGATTCAGATTTTGGTTTTCCTGGTCCCGAAGCGTATGTGGAACTCGGAGTCGCAGTTTGGAATTTAAGCGGATTTACAAGGGACAGGAGATGTGATCTCTTTTTTCGTCAATGGACGCTACAGCTTCTTGTTTGCTTTCGAACTTAGCTTGTAGCAGACGAGTGCACATTTTCAGCATGATGTCTTTGAACCACTGGTGAAAGGACACTGTGATCCTTTCCTCTTTCATCTATAACTGCTTCAAACAATAAAGAGGATGCAGAAGAGTGTTTAACCATTACCAGAGGTTTTGGTGCTCCCTAATGTTGCCAATGGTGTCCCTTTTTGGGACGTTAGTCCAAACTGATGACTCCAATGGTCACATTAACATCTCTGTACTTGCAAATTCGGGCCATTACCTGAGGAGGGGGGTGGGGGAACCTTGTTCAGAAGGTTTCAGCCAAGTGCCCCATAACTCAACACAATAGACTTTTATTGTGAGGTTGACTTGTTTTTGAAAGTGTATGGAGTGAATGGTGGGCTATAGCTTGTAAGTTTGAATGCAGGCTTTTGTTTTGGGATGGATAAATAGGCGCACAGTCCACCTTCACTTCACCTTCATCACAGAAGCATGCAGAGACAGCGTGTGCAGAGACGGCTTACTACGGAGCAGGCATTGGCAATGGTCCTTGCCGATACACCACCTTCTGACTCCGATGGCGAAGAAATCGAAGTTCACCTATATTCAGACTCTTCTGGTAAGATTTCCCCAATATAAAATTTCTCCCACTCAGTTGTTTTACTTACAAAATATATAATTGCATGTTAAAAATAATGAAATAATAATAATAAAAAATATATTTCATATTTTAATTCAGCTGTAGATACTGCTTTGTCCGTGTTGCATTTAGTTTATCACTGTGAAAAAGTAATGGTAAAAAAAAAAAATTAACAAATGCATGAAATATCAGCTACAACACACTGATTGAGTCTTGTATAAAGAAAACACTGAAACAATGTATCACATAAACTATAAAATAATCAGTGAGAGCAACCAATAGAGATTGAAAGCCCTCCTATGGTGACTGTTGATCACATATTTTTTTTTTCCCGGAGATAAACCAACTGGAATGATGATTTTGAAGTTAGTTTGCCAATGTTATCCTATGGCTGTTTACATCTAGTGACTGACAGAACTATAATGCATTGCGGTTCTGTCTCATGGTCTGTGAATCTCTATATGTGGTTGCTATAGGTCCGTCTTCCTCAACTGGCGGACCGCGATCCACTACCGGACCGCCGACCTCCTCTGTCCGGACCCTCGGCAAATTGTATAAAATAATAATTTATAAAGTGATTTTTAGGTTATACATTTTTTATTTGTGGGCTATAATCTGCACATTACCGCGATCGCTTGTTAAAATTATCCGCTGTATTCTTTGCGTACACGAACAGATGTATTGCAGAGGACCGGACTGTGTGTTGTATAATGTTTGACTAACTGGAGACCCTGCCTGAGCAGGGCATGTCGGCGATAACGATGCGCTGATTGGCTCCTCTGAATTTAAGGTGTGCCCAAACATAAGCGTCAGCACGCGTCTATCCCAATACACACGCATTCAAAATGGATGATTGTGTCAGGAAACAGACGCATGCGCGACGCCACCGTGCTCGCAGCTTCAGTCCAGGAGAGCCGCACACAGACAATTAGACAAGACGAATCGCGGGAGGTTTCAATTGTGGGCAGTTTTGCTCCCGTCTACCCAGGGAACTTTGCAGCTGTTTAACAGCAGAACAGCGCAACATGGCGTCCTTTAAACTTGCTACAAAGAGAAAGGTAGACAGTGAAAATCGGCGTTTCAATGAGGAATGGACTGACAAGTATGCTTTCATTCTACCTCTGTCGAGCACCAAGCCAATGTGTCTAATATGCCTAAAGACGGTAGCTCTGGTGAAGAGTCAAAATATTAAACGCCACTATGTGACAGAGCACGGCTCTTTTGAACGGGATTTCCCTCATAATTCAGAGCTGAGAACAAACGAAATAAAGAGACTGAAAAGGTCATATCAAGACTCAAGCAGGAAGATTGTGACATGTATGACACAACAACAAAAAGCAACAGAGTGCTCACTGAAAGTGGCCTGGGTTTTGGGTAAGCACAAGAAACCATTCTCTGATGCAGAAATTATAAAAGAATGCATGACTGAAGTTATGGACACAATGTTTGAAGGCAAAGAAAAGGAGCAAATGACAGCCAAAATAAAGCAAATTCCACTGTCAGATTCCACATCGACCAGACGAACTGAAGTCCTTGCTGCTTAATTGTCTAACCAGCTTTGTGATGCAATACAAAATGCAAATTGTATTTCCCTAGCAGTAGATGAGTCCACTGACACTACTGATAATGCACAGTTGGTGGTGTTTGTGAGGTATTATGATGAGGCAAAGGGGGAGTTCATTGAAGATGTTTTGGGATTGTTAAACCTCAGTGGACAAATAAGGGGGGAAGACATCTATGCTGCAATGTCAGAAATGATGAATGAAAAACAGATAGATGTGAAGAAAGTTGTGTCAATTGCTACTGATGGAGCTCCAGCCATGTTGGGGGGAGAGAAAGGACTGGTTCAGCGTCTGAGAGAGCATCACCCTGGCTTGATATGCTACCACTGCATAATCCACCAGTCTGTCCGTTGTGCACGTCTGGGAAAAGTGTACTCTGAAACTATGACAACAATGATGAAACTCATAAACTTCTTGAGAGCAACATCTGCACTACAGCACCGCTTGCTTCGCACATTCCTGACAGAGGTAGATGCAGCTTATGATGATTTGCTCCTTCACAACAACATCAGATGGCTGAGCAAAGGCAAGGTCCTGGAGCGTTTTTGGGCCGTAAGAAAAGAGCTGGAAATGTTTCTGTCACAGCACAAGAGCACAAAAGCAACACAATTCCTGGAACTTCTGAGAAATGACGAGAAAATGGAAGTTGTGGCATTTTTGGCAGATATAACATCTCATCTCAATGAGCTAAATCTGAAGCTACAGGGGAAGGACAGCACGGTGTGTGAGCTGATGTCAGCAGTGCGAGCCTTCCAGAGGAAGCTGGAGAATTTCAAAGTTGACCTACAGGTAATTATATTTTCCATGTAATAGCACACAGATTTTATGGTTTCCACTTAACATGTTTTTAATACTTCATACCCCCTTTAAAGCATTTCTCCTGATTTATTTTTATTTTTTTACCCACAGGAGAGAATGGGACACTTCCCCAAACTTCTGGAACAGACCAAAGGAAAAGGAGATCACATTCAGTGTCATGTGGAATTCCTGGAGAAGCTGATTGCAAATTTCAAGACTCGTTTTGATGACTTTATCTTAGGAAAACAAGTCCTACTGTTCATTGATAACCCATTCCTGGTCAGAAATGTAAGAGAGTTCTCTGCAGAAGCACACCAAGTCTTCCCATGGGCAACACCTGCTACTCTGCAAAATGAGTTGATTGACCTCCAGGAAAATATTGCACTGAAAGAGGCTCAGTGTGACGCTGTCACTTTCTGGACAAGGATGGTAACTGCAGCAAATTATCCTCTGCTGCATAAGCTGGCAATTAACATTCTCACAATGTTTGGGTCAACTTACAGATGTGAGTCTGCATTCTCCACAATGAATATTGTGAAAAACATGTACCGTACTAGACTCACCAATGAACACTTGCATCAGTGTCTCCGCCTGGCCATCACACCTTTTGTGCCAAAGTTCAAAGTCTTGGCAACAAGCACAAAATGTAATTTCTCTCATTAAGCAGCAGTGTTCAGCACAAATGCACATAATGTACACTTATTTTTGCACCTTAAAGACCTGAGTTCTTGCCACTTATTTACAAAAGGAAATGAGGGATTGATTTGCTTTGTTAAAGGAAATGGATATTTTGATGTATCTTCTTAGCATGTGTAGGTTAATATTTGCCTGCCTCAGACATTGCATTCACCTTTAGTGTAAGAACAGCACTGCACTTTCCTGTGCTCCCTTGTGTCAGTATTTAAAATGGTTCTTAACTCCTGATATATTTTTCAGTGATTTCAGAGAGGATGTGAAAAGGGGAATTGTACAAATGAAAAGGATATTTTTGTTTTCATGTTTAGTATTTATTTTGGTAAAATGAGTATTTTGTTTTTGTTAAGGGAAAAAAAGACAACTACTGTTTAACAAAGTTAAAGTAAAAATGTCGTATTTCCCTAAAAGGGCTATTTCTATTATTAAGCAGGCACAACTTAACAGAATAAAAGAGTTCCTGTGTCTCAACACAATACCTCTCATTATTTGCCGTGTCCTGGTAAAGTGAATAATTGTTATTTTCATGCACCCCATTATTGGTTGGTTGTGAGGAGTGTTGATTTGTATAAGCTTGGCTTGACCATACTAAATGGGCATATAGCCCTGCTCCTCATGACCGCCGTGCATGGGACCGGACCTTGGTTTTATTCAAAAAAAAAAAAAAGTGGACCGACAGCATTTCTAGTTGAGGACCACTGCTATAGGTGAATTATTTTGCTAATACATGAAAATAACAATGTTTTTATCTGTTTGCAGATGAGGAAACTTCTACTCCACTACCAGAAACAAGAGCTTTGGTTGAACATGGGCGAACAGAGGTTGCTAAAGATGGCACAGTGTGGCGTGAAGAACAATTGGCAAAACCTCTCCTTTTCACTCCAGTTGAGCCATACACCGCTGATGGAGCTCCAACAGCCAACACCAGGAGAATCGTCACAAGTCGTCTTCAGAGCTTCTTGTGTTTCATATCGTTGGAGATGCTTCGCATGATTCAGCATTAGACTGTTCAGCATGGACGTCATACGGAACAGGAGGATTGGTTCATTGATGTTCCAGAACTGATGGCATTCATTGCTGTCCTAATCTGGAAGGGGGTGACTCGAGTTCCATCCTTGAGTGACAACTGGTCTGAGGACATGGGGAACCGAAGGATCATTGCTACAATGGCTCGGAACCGCTTCCAAAGCATCATGCAACATCTCCGCTTTGATGACATGTTTACATGTGCTGAGAGAGTAGAGACTGATAAGCTTGCTGGTATTTCTACTGTTTGGGAACGCTTCGTCAAAAACTGTATTTCAGTCTTCAACCTGGCCGACACATTACCATTGACGAACAACTTTTCCCATCAAAGACTCGGTGCAGTTTCCTGCAGTACATTGCAACAAAACCTGACAAATTTGGCATCAAGTTTTGGGTGGCCTGTGACTTGAAATCAAAGTACATTTGCAATGCAATCCCATATCTTGGCAAGGACCCCAGTCGCCCCAGCGGTGAGAGACTGTCAGAGAGTGTAGTGATGAAGCTGATGGAGCCATTCATGGACCAAGGCAGAACGTCACTCTCCCTTGCACAACGCCTGCGTAGCTGAAGAACCTCCATCCTTGGAACTGTCAACAAGATTCGCCGGGAAATTCCTCCATCAACAAGACAGAGTGACCAGATTGAATTCACAACAAAAGTGTTTTCCACCCCTGAAGCAAACCTGACAATATATAGCTGACAGACAAAGCTTGTGCTTTTTTTTTTTTTAACTCGATAGCATGCAATGAGAGCACAGACGCCACAGACACTGCACAGCTGTTATTTTTTATTTTTTTGCGGGGAGTCGATGATAACACTAAGTCGGAGCTTAGATACACTACAGGAGCCAGCCAGCGTGAGCGAGCGACAGCCAGCCAGCGTGAGCGTTCGTTCGGAACTCCAGCGGCGGTCGACCCATTTGGTCCGGCACAAGCAGCTGCATCCACCACTGAAAAACCAACGAGCCGAACAGTGAACCCGGCAGCAGCGGCAGCAGAACTCACTCAACTACCGTGGCAGCGTGAGAGAGTGAGCGAGAGCCAATCAGAGTGAGCGAACGAGAGGGTTCGTTTGGAACTCCAGCGGCGGTCGACCCATTGGATCCGGCACAAGCAGATGGAATCCACCACGAAAAACCAACTAACCGAACAGTGAACCTGGCAGCAGCGGCGGCAGAATTCACTCGATTACCGCGGCAGTTTTGCTCGGGGAAGCGATAAACCACTTGCCACGTCAGCAACTTCCGGGTCGGCAGCAAGCCCACTGGACACGCCACCAGCTAGCGTACAACCGGCTAGCAACAAAACCCGCTAAGATGCCGCCTAAACAGAAGCAAGATACAAAATGGGACGAGGAATTGATGACCCTCACGCAAGTTAATGAACTACTCCAGCAACAAAAAGAGCTTTTTACAGTGCTCATGCAACAACAACAGGAAAACTTTAAAGGATTCGTCAAGATGATACTCGAGTCAACAAACTCACGACTTGACAGCTTTTCCAGGGAAGTGCAAGAAATAAAAAACAGCATCAACTTCACCCAAAAGGAGGTAGACGACATTAAAAAACAGCAAATTAATGAAACCGACCATTATAAAAACATGCAGACTGAAATTTACAAAATATGTGACAGTCTGCTAGTATTAACTGACAAGATGGACGACTTGGAGGGACAGTCAAAAAGAAACAACTTGGTGATTGATGGAATTGGGGAAACACAAGGAGAAACATGGACTGGAAACAGAGCAAAAAGTGCAAAAAATCTTCAAGGAGCACCTGCAGATAAAGGAGACAATCGAGGTGCAACGAGCCCACCGCACTGGAAGGCACGAACCGGGGAGACCTCGACCTAGAACAGTTGTGGTGAAATTGAAAAATACAACGACAGAACAAGGATTCTACAGAGAGCAAAATATCTAAAGGGCACCAACATCTACATCAATGAAGACTTCACTGATGCCGTGCGTCAAAAAAGAAAAGAACTGCTCCCAAAATTAAAGCTGCACGAGACAGAGGGGAAATTGCCTACTTGCACGTGCATACAACTTGAATCGTTCGACCATCGGCACCATTTATAAACAGAAAGATCGCATAATGGAACACGTGAAAGGTGCAGTGCCGATGCAATCGACGATCATTAGCAAGAAAAGAGGGAAAATCTTAGAAGAGATGGAGAAACTTCTCACCATTTGGCTCAAGGATAAGCAGCAGCGGCGTATTCCTCTGAGCCTTATGCTCATTCAGGAGAAGGCCAAATCTATCTTTGAGGATGTCAAGGCTAAGGCTGGGGAAAGCGCTGCCGAAAAAATGTTTTCTGCCAGCCACGGGTGGTTTTCCCGTTTCAAGAAGAGGGCTAATCTCCACCATGTGGCCCTGTCCGGAGAGGCAGCATCTGCGGACAAAGAGGCTGCCGAGCGATTCCCCCAAGTGTTGAAGGAGATCATCGAGGAGGGTGGCTATTCGGCTAAGCAGGTCTTCAATGTCGACAAAACAGGTCTTTTTTGGAAGAAAATGCCAGAGAAGACCTACATTAGCCGCGAGGAGAAGACGATGCCCGGATATAAAGCGGCTAAAGACTGCTTAACCTTAATGCTTGGGGCGAATGCTGATGGGAGCTTCAAGCTGAAGCCGCTGCTAGTTTACCGGGCAGCTAACCCTCGAGCCCTGAAGAACGTGACGAAAAGCTCTCTCCCCGTTATATGGATGTCAAACATCAAGGCATGGGTGACACTCGCTGTATTTGAGGACTGGTTCTTCCACCATTTCATCCCAGAAGTGAAGTTGTATTGTTGGGAAAATGGAATTCCATTCAAGATCCTGCTGGTGCTGGACAATGCCCCTGGCCACCCCCCGCACTTGGATGATTTTCATCCTGACATCAAAGTTGTATGCCTGCCGCCAAATCCAACTTCACTTCGGCAGCCGATGGACCAGGGCGTTATCGCCAATTTCAAGAAATATTACACCCGACGGACGTACAAGAATGCCTTGAAAGCAGTGGATTCTAACCCCGAGATGACCTTGCGGAGCTACTGGAAGTCGTATACCATATTTAACTGCATCAAAAACATTGAAGCATCATGCCGTAAGGTTTCCGAGGTCAACCTCAACGCCGTGTGGAGGCCTCTATGCCCTCAGTTCGTCAACGACTTCCGTGGCTTTGATCAGGAGGGCATCAATAAGGACATTCTCAGCACTCTTGTCGGGCTAAGTGAGAAACTCGGGCTTGACCTGGAGGAGGGGGACTTCAAGGAATTGCTTGAGTCCCATGGGGAGGAATTGAGTAACCAAGACCTCATGGAGTTGGAGGCTCAGCAACGTGTCGAGGAGGAGGGGGAGGAAACGCCTGTCCCCATGAAGAAATTCGAGACGAAACTCTTGGCCTGTCACGTAGCGAGGTGGTGGTGGACCCCAAAAAGCAGGCAGGAGGGAGGAGCAGGGTGTACTTGAAAGATTGTATTAAAACTCAGAGAAAACGAAATCCAAAAAAAAACATAGTCCAAAGTAGCAAACAAAAATCATAACTGAAGCTAAAACAGAACCATGACCAAAACAAACCTGACAGCAGCAGAGAAACGGCAACAAACAAACATGACAGTAGCACAAAGCAACAATGACCCGACCATGATTGCTCGGGCTGGGAGTCCTTTTAAAGCCACTAATTACCTAATGACCAACAGGTGTGCAGCTGCAGGGAGAGCCCTACAGTGCCACCTGTTGGTCCCAAACTGAATCATGACATGGCCGAGGGGTTTTCGCTCATCGATAAAGCCATCGCACTCTTCGAGCAGCAAGACCCAAATATTAACGTTGCACAAAGGTTGCAAATCAAATGAATGATGCCATACAGTGCTACCGCATCATTTATGATGCGAAAAAGAAGAAAACTGTGCAATCGTCGTTAGATCACTTCTTTCGGCCAGTTTCTACTACACCCTCCAAGGAATTTACTCG